CCCTTCAGGACTCATCATTTCCCCTATCTCTGGAAATTTTTTGCCCTACATTCCTATTCCTTTTTACAGTCTCTTAGCAACCATTTTCTTAACCCTTGCTGAATACAAATCCTGATAGTTATCTTCTTGCAAGATTCTGGATCTCAACTCTGAACCATGGCTCATGGTGGGGAAGGAAGAGGAAACGGTAACCACCATCTGAAGAGCAAGGCTAGGTATTCATGGCCATAGCTTCCTGCAGAGTTGATTGGAAGGTTAGTATTTGAAGGTACATTTTGGCGAGAATATTGGATATAAGGGACATTTTAATAGTTTGACATTAATATGTGTTTCTACATTATGATAAAAGAAGAAAAGTGATAAAGGGTGACTGCATAGTTAAGTTGAAAAGGAGACAATCTTGGAAGACACTATGATGATTCTTCAAAAAGACAAGGCATGAGGACATTGTTGAAAGGAGAAACATTTGTTGGATATTGAAGTTTTGAATTGTTCCTGGATAGGACCTTCTAAATTCCACTGGCCCAATACTGCTCAAAATTTAAATGAGAGGTGATTTTGGCTATAGCCAATTGAAGCTGAATTTACCTATAGGCATCTCATGGGGTTTTGTTCAGACTTATTAGTTATTAAATATTACCAGAGCCTGGTATAAAGTCTTAAGATTATCTAGATAATGTCAACATTATTAATAATGTTATTTTATTAGTATTTATTTATTTATATTTTGGTGACTGGGGATTGAACTCAGGAGTGCTTTTACCACTGAGCTATCCTTTTTTATATTTTATTTTAAGACAGGGTCTCACTAAGTTGCTTTGGACCTTGCTAAATTGCTTAGGACTTGGCTAAGTTGCTGAGGTTGGCCTTGAACTTGAGATCCTTTAGCCTCAGCCTCCTGAGTCACTGGGATTACAGGTATGCACCACTGCCCGCCCGGGTTTATTACTATTTTTAATAAAGAACATAGTCAATCATTTTTAGTGTTTCATTTGTAGATAAACTTGCATATTCTCAGCTATTTCCATCTTTGAATGGACCAATAAATGTAGTAAAATGGAACTTAGTGGGTGACACATAGGGTCTAAGTAGTTGAGACAATGAAGGCAGATGGGAGATGGATTAGGATCAAATAGAAGGACCCATAGATTAGCACTCCCAATGAGGTCAAAGAACAGTTGTTTTTGTTTTCTTTAAAATCAAGAACTGGCAAATGAACTGGTGATGGTTTTAGTGAAATATTAGAGTTTTCAAGTTGGCAGAGTTGAAATAGTTCTGGGTTTATGATCACATTCAGAGTGCAGCCACAGGAAAGGCTGGTGAAGTAGAGGGAGGTGGGGGCTACCAATAACTTTGGCCAACAATAGCCACAAGAAAGAGTAGAAGAATAAGATTTTGGATATGATAATGTGGAGCCAGAAGAGTAAATATGCCCTTTTCCCTAAATAACCCTAGGATGTAGAATCTGTCTGGACCTCTAGCAAAAGGGATTTCTTAGCCCATATAGAGGGGGTGCCAAGTGGTATCTTAGGCTAGGTGCTGCCCATGGTCAGGTCAGCAATCAGAGGCCTCTGCCCAGCAGTGTGGCTGCAAGATTATTTTATGTTTCAGCATGAGCCGGCCTCAGGTAAGAAGGGTGGAATTTTTAGACCTGAATTAAAAGAAAGAGAATTATATATGTTCCCAGCAGTGCATCTGTACAGTGCATCTATGCACGGCTTCTGATGAATTATCCAAACATTTCTTTATGTTCATGACATGTCCTCATCCCTTGGTGTCCTGTGGAAGCATTGGGCCTCTGGCTATAAATTCCTCAGGGTTGGGAGAGATAAGAATTCAGATCCTATCCTCACTAACTAAACCAGTTTGACTGGGTGACCATAAAACAAAGCTGCTCCCTAAAGTCTTCAACATGAAGGCAGTGGGTCTTCCTGGCACCTCTTCCCATTGCCAGGGTGACCCTACCTCACCCAACCCAATACAAGGCAGGAGGCCAACCACTGAGGATTTAGATATAAAGCCAAGAACTTGGTCCAAGAGGGCGGGGGAAAAACCAAACCACTATAAACTCAAGTTTTGTGGAAACTGTGTTAAATCAATTCAGGAAAAGAACTAAGACAATGCAAGTGCTGAATCAGCGAGTGACTGATCTAATCTTTATGTAACTCAGAACTCAGCTAGGCTCACCCTGCCTCATAGAGAATGCTAAGATTGGCTTGAGACCCATGGGGTGGGGGTGGGAGGATGGAAATACAAAGCTCTCTCAGATTTATGCAAAACTGCCTGTTTTCCTAGTCACCCCTGCTCTGATTCCTGACTTTGGCTGAGTTCTCTATCTCCTGAGGACCTAATTGTGGAAACTAGCTTCTTCTGCTTGGTTTCCTCCTCAAGCACTCACAGCAGTAGTATATTGTAGAGCTTTGCTGGTGGGATCTACAGATCAGTCCTAGTTGGTGAATAAAGACCCTCTTAGTCATTTCTGCCAACTTCCAGACTCCACACTCCCACCATGATGCCTAACTTTCTCCTTGCTTCTTCTCTTCCTCATCTGCTTCCTCTTTACTTCACTTTCTCCACTTCATCCCCCACTCTTTGGTCATGCTGGGGAATCAAACTCGGGTCCCTGCACATGCTAGCAATACTCTACCTCTGAGCCACACCCCCAAATTTCCCCCCYTTTTTTTTTTTTTAAGCAATGAAATTTAGCTGCTTCCCCAGTCCCAGCGCTTGCCCTCCTCTTCCACCTAACTTTCCAAGACATTTTCCTAAATAGGGGTAGTTTCTTTCCTAAAGCAAATTCTACAGTCAATTGGGTAGAAGATTTTCCTTACCTGTTTTCATTGCCTCCTGTGAAAAACAGCTGGTTTCTGGGGTGTTCCATGGGGCTTAATCTGCAGGTACATTTTAAATGGTTCCTAATATAGTGGGCAGAGGAAGTAGATGGAATTATGTAGATAGTTTGGGGGCAGTCCTGGAATAGAATATTGACTTTCTGAACCCAGTGGTTGGGTCCTATATGTTTCCCAATGTGGGCCCCTGAGTTGACTCCAGTCATGAAAACTTTCCAGATCACTTGTATGCTTATGCTTGGAAATTGTGGAAAATGCATYGGCTTGTTCTTTGTTCATGCTCTTTCAAGTAACAGCAAGTCTTTCCTCGGCTCTTTCTTTGAACTCCTGGCTCGAAGATATCTTCCTCCCTTCCCACTCGGTGGAGGACAGACACAAAATCTCTCTTTGTTTAGTACCTGAATACTCAAAGAGTTTTTTTTTTTTTTCCACCTAATTAGAAGGAAGTATTTTTCCATACACTTCATTTTCTTTTTGGAATTTGCTAGCTGAAGCCGAGTAGTTTAGTTTACACGCAAGGTTTGTTCATTAATTAACAGCCTTCAGGCCAGGTTGCCCTTATCAGGACTTAATATCTAACTCAGCATTGGCTAAACCAGAAAGAGTTACTAGTTCTCTTGTGTTGGGAAAGGATCTCCAAGGTGGTGTAACAGCTCTTTTCTGGAAGGTGTGGAGAAGATTGAGACCTTCCGAGGAGTATAACCTGAGACATTTGGGCATTTTTAATGGAAATCCAAGGATGGCCACCAGTTTGCCAGTTTCTTGCAATGATTAAGTAAGACCCATGACTTGGGACAAAGAAGAGCCAACAGAGTTTTTTACGTCACTCATTTCAACAGTGCACTTTACTTTGTACTCAAGAAAACATGAGGTAATTACCAACTGTATCCTAACTAGTTTCTCCCATCTTTGCTATGGTAGGTAGAATTTTGGTCTCAGGACTTTTGCCCCCTGGTGATATTCCTGTGGTTTACATTATGTTAATTGGCAAGACAGAATTTGCAAATGTAATTAAGGTTATTAATCAATTGACCTTAAAATGGATTCTCTGAGTGGGTCCAATGTAATTACAGAAGCCCTTAAAGCAGACCTTTCTCCCAGCTGAGGACATGAGAGAAATTCCAAGTACAAGAAGGATGTGAGGCACTGTGGTTGGATCTGAGATAAAGGGGCCACATGTAAAGACCAAAGAGAGGCCTATAATAGCAAGGAACTGATTCTGCCAACAACCTGGGTGAACTTGGAAGTGGATTCTTTCCCAGAGCCTCCAGAAAGGAGCACAGCCCCACCAACACCTTGAATTGGGCCTCCTGAGACTCCAAGCAGAGAACCCAGTTGAACCACACTATGCTCAGACTTCTGACCTACAGAAACTGCGAGATAAGAAATACATGTTGGCTTAGCTTTCTAGAGTATATAATCATTGGCTGTAATAATAAAATATGATTGCGCGAGGTTTCTGCCTTTTGTTTGAAAAAGAATGAGCAGTGGAGACCTCCTTTCTTGGTAGGGGCTGACAGGTAAGCATCTTCATGGCAAGGTTCTGTGGACACACTTGGTCACTGTGCTCCCAGGGGCAAGGGGGCTCAGCCTCCCGTTTTATAATCTTTCTGTGCAGTCCAATGTAGAAGCCACTGGCTGCATGTGACTTGAAATTAAATAAAACTGAAAATCCAATTTCTCAATTGTGTTAGGTACATTTTAGGTGTTCAATATTTATGTGTGACTAATGGCTACTCTGAGTTAGAAGGCATAGGTATAGAGTATACAGGTATGTATGTAGGTAAATATATATATATATATATATATATATATATATATATATATATCCTATATTGTAGAAAGTTCTATTGTATTGGAAAGCTCTGTTCTTGATGATGATCAGTGATGACATCCAGTTGCAACTGTTCTTTTTTCTCATTTGGGGCACTGAGAGGTCGGATTCCTCTACTCACTAGTCAACCATTACAAAGCAGAAATCATGCAAATTCTCCTGACTATAGCAAGAAATATGATTTTTAAAAAACTTTCATGTCTCCTTTCTTCTCTTATCACTTATGTAATTTATCTCCTGAGGTTAGAAAGCCCTAGGCAGAGCATTCTGGGAATACCAGTGACAGGGTATAAGGTCTTTCTTTTTTTTTTTTCCAGATGGAAAAAGATTTACTGCATGGTAATGGCCAAGAAGTACCCTGGCGGAGACTGCAAGATTTCCCAAGGGTTTCCTGCTATAGCAAGACAAAGATACCTGCTGGGGCAGGCCAGTAAGGTCACCCCCTGAAGCAAACAGACTAAGGCTATTAGACTTGCCACAGTATGCCCAAAGGGGACACTAGCTAGAAGAGGAAAATGAGGCTTATACTCGTGGCAGACTGAAACATCCAGTTTCAGGATCAAACTTCTGCCTTGGGTTCAAACATGGAGAAATGAGGCTTATGACTTCCTGACGGAACTCAATTATAATTGGTGGACAGGGATTAAAGCGTACAGGTGATGCATTTGAAGAGAGAACTGCAGACCCAAGTAAAGAGCCCAGAAGATGTGAGTTTGAATCCCGCATCCATATTGCTGTCATTCTGTGTTAGTTACTGAAACTTTGTGAGTTGTACATTTTGTTATCTATGATGCAGATAAAATAATTGGAGGATAAAACAACCCCAATTTCTAGGGGATTGCTGTAGAGTTGTAAGGAGTAAAGGAGAGAATTACACAGACTGTCTGACATGCAGGAGGCATGTCAGGAAACAGTAGCTCATATTATACCTGTGTCAGTTCAGGTTGCATCAGAAAAGGCCCTCTAATCCCATCCCTGGTCAGTCACTAGTGTAGTTTTGTCTCCATGATCACCTTAATCACCACTCCTATGGCCATGACCTCAACCCTGATGTTTCAATAATTGTATTGCCCCCCCCACCCAAACTCCCTACGTCACTCTTCAAACATCTCACTTTCTCATTTCTACCTGAAATGTTCCTCTGAACACCTAATTTCTTATAATTGTCCTATCCCACCAAGACTTCCCATCTAGCATCTCATTGAGCAAAATAAAAGCAACCAAAAAAAGACTCTTACCAGCACATACACCTCTCTCCTGGCCTTAGTGTTCACAGTCTCTGTCTTTCCTCTTGCTGAGATGGGCAAATTGTGCTTCTATCTAATGTCAGCCTCACTACCTCTGTCCTGCATCCAGTGGCCCCCTTTCCTATTCTAGAACTTTATTCCTGCATTTGTCCTCTCCTGCACCATTGATTTTTCCTTTTTTACTGGATGATTTCCATGGCACCAAATACAGTGTTTCTCATATTTAAAATATTCTTCTTAGATTCCTGGCCTCCTTCAACTACTCCCTCTTTTCTCAGCTCCCTTTAAGGTATCTTTCTTTGGTGTTTTCTTATCGTATGAAATTCTCAGGGTTTAATCTTTAGAATTTTGTTCTGCTACACTCGCCCCCAGGAATCACGTGCAGTCCCATGACATTAAACACCTTCTATACGCTACCGATCTTATATGCCCTGCCAGCACCTCTCCTCTGAACTACAGGTCCTTATTTCCAACTGCCCATTCAACATCTCCACCTGGATGGACACTAGGTATCTTAAGTGTGTCCAAAAATGAAATGTTGATTTTCAGTCCCTAACACCGAAATCTTCCCTTCTATGGATGTTTATAGTTCAATAAAAGGAATTCTATTCTTCATTTGTTTATGCTAAAAATCTTGTCTTTTCCTTGAACCCTCTGTTTCTCTTACCCACCTCATCTAGTCAATCAGAAAGCAAAGGGAGAGTGAGAATCCTGAAAAGTTAAAAGTAAAAGTCCTGAGACACCAAAGAATATTCCCTTTTAGTGACAATTACTATATAACCTATATGTATTCACACTATATTCAACAAATATGCATACTATTTTTTATATACAACAAAATATTTTATTTACAACACCAGGTGGTGTTGTAGGTGATGGGGATATAGCAACGAATAAAACCAGGTAAAATTTCATGGAGCTTAAATTCCGCTATGGGAAAAAAGAAAACTTGCCAGATGGTTAGAGAAAAGTACATCAGAAATGACAGGAAGTGATGGAAGAATGCTGTCTTGGGTGGTTATGGAAGATTCTGAGATAGATGACAGTTAAGCATAGGCATTTAAACATTAAACACAGGGAGATGTGCAGGTATATGGGAATAAATGATTAAAATGCATGAGACAAAAGCATGCTTGAAGTGTCCCAGCAATAGGTCAAAAACCTCTGGAGGAGTAAGTATGGTGGGTATGGTGGGAAGGAGGTCAGAGAGAGACTGGGTGAGGCCAGAGAGATGTTGTAGCCACAGATGGATTTTTTTTTTCCCCCTAACAGGTAGGAAGTCAATGGAGGATTTGGAGCAGAGGCACATCCTAGTCTGACTTGCATTTCAGAAGGATCTGGCTGCAGAATGCACAGTGCGGAGTCAGGACTGGAAACAGGGTGACTGGTTTGAAGCCTGTTCCATCCCTCTAAAGATCTTGCTTGAGTTAGTTACTGTGTAGATGACAAAAAGTACTGGAGTCAGAATTCTTTTGAAGTTTGACCTGACAGACTTGCTGAGCACATGGTAGGTACACAATTTATATTTGTTGTGTGAATGGATACACAAGCAAGGAATGTCCTGGGGCAAGGCAGGACATTTCCCTAACCTAATGGAAATTCCCACCTGTTCCCTTTGCTCTCTTTCTTTGTTTGCTTGTAGCTGTTGGATGACAAATACTTTGTTCCGTGTACCTTGACTCTGGGAGGGGCGTCTTCAAGATTGAACACGAGGACATTCCTACCTAAAAAGGTTTATGATTATAATTTAGTAAGTTGGGATTCTGGGTGATTTGCAATTCACTTATCTAATTTCCCTCAGTCTGACCATCTCTGTGCTGATAAAGCTCCACATGAAAAAATTGAAGCCAAAATGCAACATGATGGTTCCACAATTTCTTTTTATACTATTGGACCCCTCTGAGCTATTATTAGGGCTTATTTTTGAAAAGTTTCTCTCACTTCAGCAATATAGATTTCTGTTACTCTTCAGATTTCTATTGTAAAATTTCCAATATGAGGAATTAATATAATTGGCCAAGAAACCGGTTTTCAAATTCGTATTTTTGGGGTGCTGGGGATTGAACCCAGGGCATTTTACCACTGAACTGCATCCCCAGCCTTATTTTATTTTTAATTTTGATATAGGATCTCACTAGGTTGCCCAGGCTAGTCTCAAACTTAGTATCTTTTGAGGGAATCCAGTTCTGATTGTCAGATTCACAGAGTTCTTAACTTCCAGTTTTCTTCAGTTCCATGAATAGCAATAATGCCTGCCTAGGCTAGGTCTAGGGTGGGGTAAGTGAGGGTGTCAAGAGCTCAAAGTTTAAGGAAGTACTCACTTGCAGGGCCCTGCAGGTGCAAGGTCAGCACCTGAAAAACAAATGCTTCCTTAAATGTTCTGCTCTGGGTACCCAGCCAGCCTCACCCAGTCCTGGCCCTAGGAATAAATGATTAAAATGCATGAGACAAAAGCATGCTAGGAGTGTCTCAGGAATAGGCCACAAATCTCTGGAGGAGTGATTAAGGTGGGAATGGTGGGAAATGAGGTCAGAGGGAGACTGGGTGAGGTCTGAGAGACTTTGTAGCCAGAGATGGATTTACTTTTTTTTTTTTTCTAACAGGTAGGAAGTCAATGGAGGATTTGGAGCAGAGGCACATCCTAGTCTGTCTTTCAGAAGGATCTGGCTGGAGAATGCACAGTAGAGAATCAGGACTGGAAACAGGGTGACTGACTGGTTTGAAGCCTGTTCCATCCCTCTAAGTATGAGAAAATCTTGCTTGAGATCTTCTACAAAGAAGCATTTTTCTTCATTAACCAGGCAGTTGTAGTATCAAGAGCAGGAGAGTTCCCTACTGTTTAGACTGTGCAATAGTAAGCTGCTTTCAGAGAAAGCAAAAGACATGGATGAGGATCCTTTTTCTCCAAAGCTCTGCCAATTTAGAAATTAAAACTGGTGGGAAAATGGAAATGAATATTATGGAGTTTTGTTTCAGAATCAACTCAACAAGCCACTGACACTTCATTTGTTGAGGGCTACTGGGATCTAGGATTTATAACCTGTCTGCCATGTTTGCAACTCCTTGGATACAGCATTCTAAAAAGTGTCCATTCTCTACTTAATCTTCTTCTGTACCTTCTTTAAAAATGTTACAAAAATTAACAGAGTAAGACAGAGTAAGGATTGCAGTGTAAATGCTTTGGACAATCAGGTAACAGCTTTTTTTTTTTTTTTAAAGGTTGGGTTAACAATTTCCATTTTCAAAATGAGCCCAAATTGACTGAGTGACTCTAAATTAGCTCTTTAGTTTTTACCTTACGTTGCTGATAATGCCACTATTAATTTCAATTATTTAGAGGCAACATTAATACGTGTGAAAAAAGAACAGCAATAAAGACAGAAAGGAATAAATTACTTGCTGCAGGACAGAATGACATTTTGACTGGCACAGAGATTTTTTTTCCCCTCACACACTTTGTGCTTTGACATTTCACTTGGCACAAACATTTCACAAATTCTTGACCTAATCTGATGTACTGTTGTTTAGCAATTGCTGACATGACATGTTTTAACCTCAAGCTTGCTGGATTCCAAATGTTACCTCTTCCTGTCAATCAGGGTTGGATGACCTCCAAAAAGCAGTCCAAGCAAAACTCTATGTACCTAAGAGGTTAAATGCATTTGCCCCAAATAGAGAAGAGGCAGTTTGAAGTAGGAGTTGGGGGAAGGGCAGGAAGAATGGTGTCATTTAGGAAAATTATGGGGTGAAAAAAATGTAGGAGGCAGATCCTTAGGGAACCCTGAGATCTGGAGAGAGACATCAGTCCCAAACACAGAACCTAGAAATAAACCTAACAAGACATACATAGGGTATATAACAACAACAACAATAACAAAAATAGTCAACTTAGGAGTAGAAGAGATTTCAGATAACAGAGAAATACATTATCTTCCTCAAAGGGAAGAATGTGTTATATAAAAATGTTGCTCCTTCTCAAATTATGGCTATAACTTGACCATCTCCCCTTCTCACTGCCTTTTGGTATGGAAGAGGTTACATTCATATTAATATCTATGCTTTGCTAGTTATTAGGTCATCTGTCTTTTGCATCCTAAGACTTTATTAAAAAATAAGCCAACTCACATTGCTTTGCTCTGATCACATTTTTAGGGCTCTATCAATTAGAAATGCTTTCATTTGCAAGTAGAAAAACAACTTTTAGTCCATGGTTGGTGAACTCCATTGTGCAGAACATCATGGCAGAAGGGTTTGGCAGAGGAAAGCTGCTTAGCTCATGACAGAGGGGGAAGGGGGGAGAGAGAGAGAGAGAGAGAGAGAGAGAGAGAGAGAGAGAGAGAGAGAGAGAGAGAGGAACAAAATATATAGTCCCCAAGGCATGACCCCAGTGACCCACTTTCTCTAGCTATGCCCCACCTGCCTACATGTACCACCAAATAAACAATTCAAATGATTATACTATCAAATGGATTAGTCGACTGATTAGGTTACAGCTTTCATATCTAATCTTTCACCTTCTGTATTAACACAGGAGCTTTTGGGGATACCTCATATCCACACTGTTACAGTTACTATTCCTATATATTATTATTATTCTCATTTTGCTAATGAGGAAATTAAGAAGATTAAGTGGGATGAATTGAAATCCAAATCCAGGTGTTTTTGATGATAAAAAACCAGAGTATGTACTTTTTCTATAATACCCTGCCACCAACAAAATCCTGAGAGAGGATTACTTTTCAACAGAATCAGAAATAACTAGAGGAGCGAGACAGGAGAGGATGATCTGAGACATGGTATAAAGGAAAGGAGGGGTATAAACTAGAAAGAAAAGATGAAAGTGAGAATTACCTACAATACATAGTCCAGATTGGATCTAGGATCATTGGGAATAGACAGGGAGGAAAGATGGACTCCCCCCCACCAGCTCATGTTGCCTGAGACATGGACTAAATTTTTGACCATACATAGTCAAGGCACTGTAGGGAGGGAAGTGCACAGAACTTTTATATAGAATATATCTTCTTTGATCCCCCCAGATCACTTACTAACTACATATCAAAATGAAGATAAAATAGAATCCTTGAGTAATCCAAACTTGGCCTATATCAGATTGCAATTTTCTCTCCTCCAAAGGTACCAAGGTTGGGGCTCTTCTGTTAAGTGCTCTGATTCTTTTCTTTTTTTTTTTTTTAATATTTTTTTAAGGAGAGAGAAAGAGAGAGAGAGAGAGAGAGAGAGAGAGAGAGAGAGAGAGAGAGAGAATTTTAATGTTTATTTTTTAGTTTTGCGGCAGACACAACATCTTTGTTTGTATGTGGTGCTGAGGATCCAACCCAGGCCGCACGCATGGCAGGCGAGCGTGCTACCGCTTGAGCCACATCCCCAGCCCCAAGTGCTCTGATTCTTGCCAGACTGTGCTCCCAGACACTGAAGGAACAATCCTAGAACAAATTTAAAGATGAAGATAGATGGGCTGGGGATGTGGCTCAAGCAGTAGCACGCACGCCTGGCATGCGTGCGGATCCTCAGCACCACATACAAACAAAGATGTTGTGTCCTCCAATAACTAAAAAATAAATAAATAAATAAATATTAAAATTCTCTCTCTCACTCTCTCTTAAAAAAAAAAAAGATGAAGATAGATAAGAGAAATTTGTACCTGGCAAGCATAATTTTACTCTGGTTGCATCTACCTAGATCCCACTGATTAAATACTATATGCTGTTTTCCTGGCTTAATGTAGCAAGAGACTTACGATTGCCCCAGTAATCCCAAGCATGGCATTTTCTTTTTATAGGTGCAATGTATTTAAATATTTATATTGACAAATATAAAATTAGATTTAAAAATTTATGCTTACCACTGGTGATTTCTATCAGTGCTATTCATATGGCTGAATTCCACAGCGGAATTGGACCATTTAAAACTAATGTTGCTCAATTTATAGCTGGCTTTTCAAAATATTAATTTTAATTACTTACTTGCTCGACACAATTACAGCTGTAAATAAAAATTGATTAAACTTGAGCATGAAAAGTTCAATTCATGAAAGGTTATCAACAAAAAATTTGGCAAAGTTCTATTTCTTTTTTAAAAACATTTTTATTAGTTGTTCATGGATCTTTATTTTATTTACTTATTTATATATGGTGTTGAGAATCGAATCCAGTTCCTCGCACATGCTAGACAAGCGCTGTACCACCAAGCCACCACTCCAACCCCAAAGTTCTACTTCTAAGTGCAGATTAGGTGTCACACGGAAATAGACGTACTATGGTTTGCAAAGAAGTTCTTAGTACAAGTAATATGGTAATAAAACACCAGTTTATCAAACTGATCAATAAAACTAACGATTATCATAATAGTTTTTTACTAAGTAAAAATGACAGATATCAGAATTTATATTACTTATTCTCTTTAATAAGACCAAGAATACTTGATTAAAAATGGCCAATAGTCTTTTCCTAGTTTCATTTATTTGCAAATTATTTTA